CTCCTTTGTGGTTTTTTCTGCCGATAATGGTTTTTTTTTTTTTTTTTTTTGTCTTTTTGACAAAAAAGCTGTAGCCCCAGCTGTCCTGGAACTCACTATGTAGACCAGGCCGGCCTTGAACTCACAGGGATCTGCCTGCCTCTGCCTCCCGAGTGCTGGGAGTAAAGGTGTGCGCCACCACACCTGGCTTATAGTGGCATTCTTTAAAGTCTGATTTCCAGCTGGGTATGGTGGTGCATGCCCATAATCCCAACACTAGATGGTCTCTGGGACATAGTGAGTTTGAGGCCAGGATGGGCTATAGAGAGAGACTCTGTCTCAAAAACACAACAAAATTTTTCTTAAGTAAATGAAATTGATGGGTGGTTCCCAGGGCTTCTGTGCAAAAGAAGGCCTGTTGTGCACATTAAATGCTGGCTCCCAGACTCCTGGAGTATCTCCTATTGAATGTGTTGAAAGCAGATCCTGAGAAAAGGACTTGACACAGGTAGGATGGAAGGAGAGTACAGAGGGGCAGTCGGGGCTCCCTCCTGCTGGGATTCTCTGAGGAACCCATGACATATACCTTGGAAATGTTCCTCCAAAGACAGAAGTTGGGACATTTGTCCACTGTTTGCTGAAGGTGACCCTGATGGCATCAATGCCCTCACATGTGCACAAGTTATATGTGTTCCCTGACAGCTCAGTAAGCAGATAAGGCACAGTAATATTACTGTGCCAGGGACCATGTAGCCCAGGCTATCCCTGAACTTGGGATCTGCTTACCCCTGTCTCCTGGGTGCTGGAATTATAGGCATGCATAGCATATCTAGCTCCCAACAGAATTCCACATCACTTTCCCCAAGCCTAGCCTCTCCCCTCTTAAACCCAGCTCTATCAGTCAGCTGCCTGAATCCTAGCAGCCTCTCTGAGCTCCTTGTTCCCCACTCACACATCCAACCTGTCCCTTGACTCTGTCCAAACAGTCACAGATCTGACCTCTTCTTCCACAGATACCGCTGCCCAATGCAGCCACCATCACCTCTTCAGGGACACTGTCACCTTCCAATTGGTCTTTCCACTCCTCCACTGCAGTGTTACCCTGCACACACATTTCCTTTCCCTTACAGCAGCAGGAGTCACTTAAAAACAATTGCTGAAGTCTCGGCCCCTGCAACCCCACCAACTCAGCTCCTGGCTCACTCACTCCCATACATTGGTATGATCACTGCTCATCCCACCTCATGACCTGCTTCTTTCCTGGGATAGCCCTTCCTTGACACTTGTAGCCTTGCCCTTCTTGCCTCAAAGACTCCCTGAGTCGGGCTCTAGAGCACCCCTCCATTCTCCTCCGCACCACTCCACAACCGCTGCTGTCATTTCCTCCTCTCTGAAATGGTCTTGCTCATCAGCATTTGCAGGGAAGGGGCATACTGTAGATAGGGCCTGGAACCACAGAGTCCATGAGTGCTGGGATTACAGGCCTGCACTTCCACATCTGGCTTGTCTTTCTGCCCACAGTGAAGCTCCAAGTTTGCAGAGGTCCTGCATGCTTGTCAAGAGCATGGCACATGGTAGGCTGTCAGCCATCAGATGAGAACTGCCAAGAGACTAGCCTGGACATTCTGCTCCCTTACTGTATCCTAAGACCAAAGAGTCAGAAAGATGGTGGCCCATGGCTTTCACCCCCAGGCCATTCTTGCTTTGCTTTGGATTCTGATCTGTTGTTGGTCAAGCATGAAGCCAAGAGACCCCAGGGCTGTACACCTGTACTTCTTACTCATGCCTCAGCCTCCCTGAAAGCTAGGTGAGTAAGCTCTAACTAAATTCCTAGGTCACTGTGTGATGGGTTTGTGGAGCAACTCAGGAGAGCCATCAAGCTTGCATCCCACCACAGGAACTCGGCTTCAATCATCCAATTGCTGGATGGCAGGCTACTATTTGCTGGCTGTCAGAAAAGTCAATGTTCAAAGCACGCTTTTACATGTTTATATGGATGTGTGCTCTGTTTAGTGGAGGCACAGAGCAAGGGCGTGCTGTGAATTAATCAGGACACAGCTAGTGCAGAAAGATGGCACGGGCAGCTTTCAATGAGCAGTTCTGCAAAATTACCACCATCGAAATATCTGGTGAGATGGAAACACTAATTTAAAGAGGTGGTAGGGTGTCAGGTGGGCTTCCCATCCAGACAGTGGTGGAGTGGGCATCCTAGCTTTCCTAATGAGATGCCTGGCCTCCAAAACTTGTCCGCCTCCCTTCTATTAGCAGTCATGAGCCCCATCCAACTGTAGCAGTCTGCTGTCCTAGCACACTCCAAGAAGTGTGTATAGGGGTGTGGCATGACTATGGCAGGGTGAGGCAGGTAAGGGAGGAATGAGCTCTGGAGAGACCCATGAGCCAGGTAAGTTGGGAGGGGGAGCCCCTGCTTGGTTTGACATGCTTGAATCTCTGGTGCTTCTGGCACATGCTGGGGTACCTGTGAGCAGACTTAGAGTGGGACCCAGTCAGAAACAAACAGCAGTCACTGCTCTGGATAATCCCAGTTCCAAAAATAAAAGCCTGTGATGTCTCACAGTCCCAGGAACAGCTCCATAAGGAGACATCAGGATCCCATGTTACAGATGAAGAAACTGATCTCATACAGATAGTGTATAGGGGGCCCTCTGGCACACCTACCTGAGGTCTGAGGGCCACCTCCCTATGTGTCTACCTAGAGCTCAGTACTGGCAGCAACCTGGCACAGACAGTCAGGACAGTCATCTATGCTGAGAGCACTCTAAGCCAACTTCCTAATTAAGTCCCCACACACCCATCTCCTGCTGGTGGCTGGCTCCCTCCTCCCTAGAGGTCCTGGGCACCTTGCAGTGGGTGTTCATGTGCACATACATACATCCAGACTCTGTTTTCCCCAAGGCCATTTCTTAGCATCTGTGGGGGGATTTATTCCAGGGCCCCTGTGGGTGCCAGCATCTCCTGATGTTGGAGTCCCATGTACAAAATGCAACATATTTACATGTAACCTAAGCACACCTTCCTACTTCCTTCAAATCTCTCTAAGTGACTTATAAAGTCTGATAAAATGTAAATGCTATGTAAATAGCTGCTATGCCACATTGTTTAGGGAATAATAAGAAAAAAAAGATGCTCCCTAGAGATTATTTTTTTTCTGAATATTTTCAGTCTGCAGCTGGTTGAATGCTGGGATGGGAAACCCACAGGTAGGGACAGCCATTACATAGATGGCTATATAGATAGTGTTATACCTCAAGGGCAGTGCTAGGAGGCTGCATGAGACCCATACCTATACCACAGAGACTTGGGGCTGGGGGGCTTGCAGGCGGGCACCCCTCAGCATCCCCTTAGCAAAGGATAAAGGATAACTTTATGGATGACTTTGAGGAACATCTCCTGCCTTAAGATCCAGCCTCCCCGCCACCGCCCCGCCCCATGTCTACTCATCTGGGCTTCAGCTGAGGCTCCTACTCCTTGGTCCCAGAATCCAGTATGGTCAGAAATTCTATCCTGCCATCTGTCTCACCTGTGGAACCTCTGTATGTGAGTGTGTGTGCACATGTACTCCTCTACTCTCCTTCTTTAAGGAAAGACAAGGTAATACCATCTGTCAATGTTCCTCAAGCCCCTTTGCAATGGATTCGCCCAAGAACAGCCTGAAGCTCCATGGCTGCATGTGGTCGCTGGGAGCCCCTCCCAGCACCATTCTCTTTTATGTTCTTCCTTTCCTGTCTTAAGAGCCAACCATGTTGGAATGGTAATGCATTTTAAAAAAATTATTTTTATTTATTATTTTCATTTTATGTGTACGAGTGTATTGCCTTACATGTATGTGAGTGCACCCGTGTCGTGCAATGCCACGGCGGTCAGAAGAGGGCTTCAGATTCCCCTGGAACTGGAGTTAAGAATGGTTCATAGCTGCCATATGAGTGCTGGGAATCGAACCCGGGTCCTCTGCAAGAGCAGTCAGTGCTCTTAACTGGTGAGCCACCTCTCCAGCCCCACATAATGTATTTTTTAAATGAGTGTTTTGCTT